CACGTGGTCATGTGACTCGCTGACGCAACACCGTAAACGAAAACATTCTAAATCGAATGTCGCGTGACTTGACAATGTAACAAATATAGTGGATAACAATGCTTATAAACAATTGAAACAATAGAATGTGATATATATATATATATATACCTACAAGCGCGCGCACACACACATATCTATACATACATCTATACACACAAATGATTATACAAATACCTATACAAACACACGCACGCACATGCATATATGAATATATATAGATTATAGTTTAAAATAAATAGATACATAATTGGGTGTATCTGTGAATAATATATATATATATATGTGTGTGTGTGTGCGCGCGCGCTTGTATGTATATATATATATTTATTACTTTCTATTGTTTTAATTGTTTGTAGGCATTGTTATACACGTATATTTGTTACATTGTCACGTCACGCGACATTCGATTTAAAATGTTTTCGTTTACGGATTTACTGTTCAGTTAGTGATACCTGAAGAAGGGCGTTGCCCGATACGTTGTATCCACAATTATATATATATATATATTAACTCCTTAGTGGTTTGACCTATAACATACTTCTTTTCAACATAACAATATGTCTGGCCATTTTATTGAACTTAGTGTACATACTAGTCTTTCGGCAACATTTTATTTTGAGGATTCTATTGCGGGTGTATTCTGATAATAATAATAATATAAAAATGAAATAGGTCAGCCTACTTGATATGGGTTAGACCTACACACACACATATATAATATGCTGTTTATATGTAAAACTGTGTAAAAATAGCTGTTGTAATATGTATGGTTTATCGGCTTACAGTTGGCGTTAGAGATGAAACCTAAGACGACTTATTTTCAAGCGACACTTAATTGTAATTAATCAGTGTCTGCAAAATTATAATTCCATTTTTATAGATGTCGTCACCAAGGGTTACTATATATATAAACGTGGGGTCAACTTATTACTTTTTCTAGCTGAGATTTTCGAAGACCCAGGGTGTGCGTGTGAACAGGTGGGTAGGCCCTATTACACAATTTGATGAAACTCAATCCCAATAAACTTTTTTTTTAGTGTACTGTCTGTTAAAGGTGTCGCATATACTTGACCAAGATCTACTCAAAGTGTTTTAGGAATACATGAAAATCTAACCCATATAAAAGCCAGTGTTTGTCACGCCATGCTTGATTTCTCGAAATAGGAGTGAAAAAAGCCAAAATGCATTTATCCAGATACAATAATACGATTACTGTTTGTCCATTACGATTTTAGTGACAGGGGTGCAAGAGGGCAGTGAAGGGGGGGGGGGTGGTGTCGTGAAACCTTGTAAGTGTAGCGAGTGTTGGTATAATAAACCTAAAATAAAGACGTACTGTGGGATCACCTAGCCTAGAGCCAAGTACATAAGATTTAATATGAAAGTAAAAATATCGATTCAATTTAAACTTGAATCGTTTCTGAATTAAGCTATTTTATGTTATATCACCAACGTTTTCAATAAAAAACAAACCTGTTTAAACAACGGAGAGTTTAAATTAAGAAATCAACAAATATTTTTCCAGTTTTGTGGTCTATACATTTCATACTTTCAGTACATAGACTAACAACAGTATCAGATTGTTTTGTTGCTAAGCAACATGACATAAAAGTTATTGTTGGAACGTAGTGTTGTGGAAACGCACTGGCTTTTCTATGTATTAGAAGTTGTTAATCTAACTGATTTTTACCAATAATTATCCTATGAAAGGCTCACAAAGGTATTTATCGACGTTTGACTGCACTTTTCTCCTTCTTTGTTGGCCAAGCTTGATTTCGCAAAATTGATTTATTTCAGTTAGGTATGAAATGTGAGGTTAGGACATACTATGGAATGGGGGTGGTAGTGCTTGCCCTGTCATTTTTGACGGGCTATAGGCTAGAATATCAATAAAAGGGGAACAATCTAAACGGAAAAAAAATCTTTCTTCTGGTGTAACTAATTTTGAAATACAATAATAATTAATTGACGAAATTGCAGTTTGTTATATTTGTTTTTCTTCTCTTTTTGTAAACAAGATGATTCCTTAATATCCACGGTACGTGGAATTCTTTTAGGTAGAATTAGAGTAAATTAATCTACGAGACCTATTTTTTCTTTTTATTTGCTATATTTTTGTACGCCAGCAATACCAAGTGTGGGGCGCGGGTATATCCGATTCAATTTTATTACTCATCAGGATCTCTACCAGCTTACCCTCAAATTGAAATTCTTTTAGGCAGGATTAGAATAAATTTCTACGAGGCCTTAGGCGTGGTCAAATACACCAATCGAAAGGGTTTGACCTCCTAAGTCCAAAACTGTAATTGCATCTCAAATTGGTCAAGAGATCACTGAACTATGAGCTAAGTGTTTGTACTTGAAAAAACAACAACACTTTTACCCGTTCTTTCGGTTCACTCAACCATATCAAATACACATTATTGACCATAGCACCAGTTTTGCTACAACATAGGTTTCTTGAATGACGTAAATAGTGTGCAATATAACAGATTTCATATAAAAGTCAAAATGTGTGCGTGACGTGTAAATAAGTAAAAGGTTACCATAAAAAAGTCAGGATGTGTGCGTGACGTATAGGACAAGTAAATAAGTAACAAGTTTCTTATAAACGTCAGGATGAGTAGTGTCATATAGAACATGTTAAGAATTAAATGGTTACATATAAAAGTTAGGATGTGAGTGTTACATGTAGGACATGTACAGAAGTAACGGGTTCCTTATAAACGTCAGGACGCGTGCTTTACGTGTAGAACATTATAAAAATCAAGATGTATGCTTAACGTGTGGGATATTATAAAATTCAAAATGTGTGCTTGACGTGTAAGGACGTAACGGGTTTCACATAAACGTCAGGATGTGTGCATGACATGTAGAGAAGTGGTGGGTTCCTTATAAAGGTCAGAATGTGTACATGACGCGTAGGACATATAAGGAAGTAGCAAGTTCCTTATAAAAGTCAATATGTGTGCATAACGGGTAGGACATATAAAAACAGGTTCCTTATAAAACAATTTCCGTATGCATCTGATGTGTAACGAAGTAGCAAGTTCCGTATAAAAGTTAGGATGTGTAGGACAGGTAAAGAAGTAACAGGTTAACTTAGGATATGTAAAAATAAGAATAAAAATAAGAATGTGACTGTACGTGTAGGATATGTAAAAACGTAACAGGTTAATTATAAAAATAAGAATGTGAGTGTACGTGTAGGATATGTAAAGAAGTAACAGATTCTGTATAATAGTTAGGACGTGTAAGACATGTAAGGAAGAAGCAGGTTCCATATAAAAATTAGGATGTGAGCATTACGTGTAAGACATGTAGAGATGTAATAGGTTCCATATAAACGTAAGGATGTGTACATGACGTAGGACATGTAGATAAATAACAGGTTTCTTCTAAAAGTTAGGATGTGTACCTAACGTGTAAGACATGTAAAGAAGTAACACGTTCCATATAAAAGCCATGATATGATTGTGACTTATAGGACATGTAAAGAAGTAATAGGTTCCTTATAAAAGTCAGGATGTGTATCTGACGTGTTGGACATGTAAATAATTTAGAGGCACCTTATAAAAGTGAGGATTTGTGTCTGATGAATAGAAAATGTAAAGACGTAACAGACTCTGAATAAAAGTAAGGATGCGTGTCAGAAGTGTAGGACGTTTAAAGAAGTAACAGCTTCTATATAAAAGTAAGGATGTGTGTCTAAAGTGTAGGACGTGTAAAGAAGTAACAGCTTCTATATAAAAGTAAGGATGTGTGTCTAAAGTGTAGGACGTGTAAAGAAGTAACAGCTTTAATATAAAAGTAAGGATGTGTGTCTAAAGTGTAGGACG